GCGGTTCAGGCTAGTCGCCAGAGAATTCTATATTGTGGTAAATGGCAGGGCACATACCATGAGAAATTTCTTGAGGTCTCTTCCCGATGCGATGTCCCTCAAAGCAGCAAACCCACGGTTGATTTCGGTCCTCAGACCAGAAGCAAGCTGAAGAACATGTTCCTCAGGGATGTGAACTTCAGGGATACGAGGAGGAGTCCTAGAAAGCGAAAAGAATCATCAGCTAACCAGTCAGTTGTTACGCCGATATTTCCCATAAGATTTCAAAAGGATTATCACATTGGCTTACTTGTGAATGAAGGTGCTGGCGTTAGACCACAAGAACAGAACTGCAAGAGCGAGAATGGAACTGTGGCAGACAAGTGAGAGAAGGTGGTATTCAAGCAACTCAAATAAGACCCATGCTGCTGTCGCGGCACCAAGCACTCCCCCAGACACCTTCTTGTTCCTCCAGAGGACAATGTCGGCAGCTGCACCCATGCAGCAGAGAAGAAGGTGAATCAACTAATACACGGAAATTTCACACCGACAGGTTCCATCCGAAATCTGAATCATATGTGTATCAGTGTATGTATCGATGAAGTAAAAACAACAAGATCTGTCATTTCATCAAAGAACGATATTTACGGATTCTCCCAATATTCAAAACTTGGTAAGGAGTAAAAGGCGATTGATTCAGCATATACTTGATACCGAGCAATAAAACCAAATCCAGAACTTGAACAGTTCAGTCATGAGAAAACCCATGTTCTGAAAATCAGCAGACAGTAAAATCTAAACTTCAAATCAGCTCGCTAGCAGCTAGATTTCAGTCTTTCCAACAGATCCAGAAATAAATCAACCGAATCCACCATTTGAAAGAAAAACTTCGAAAAAACAGTAGCCATTCGATAAACCCAGTGCCGACATGAACTCAGAGCCCAGGCCCAAACAAAAATGGCAAACAAAGGAAACGATCAGAAACTGAAGAACAGTAAAAGAGAGATCCATACGTTTTCCGCCACCGAGAACGTTGTGAACAGGATTCTCCCTTCCGAAGAGGCGGTAAATCTTCGCCTTAAGGGAGGACAGTGACGCTTTCTTCTCATCATCGGAATCGGAAGACGACGACGACCCATCGTCATATCCGCGGATCTTCTCAGCAATCTTCTCTATGATCGATTCAGCAGCCGATTCCTCGTGCTTGTGCTCTTCCGCCATTGAAGCTTTCTAGAAATCTTCAGTAAAAACCCTAGTCTTTTTCTGGTTCAGAAATGAAGAGGGAGAAACAAATTGAAATGAGGAAGAACACAGGCGAATGATCAAGCGTCCCTAAATAGGGGCGTCTAATTCAGATTCAATCTCAGCCGTTCATTTTCAAAGCTCGATATTGACCGTTCGTAAGTTCGGACCCGGAATAAGTAGACGAAACATCTTTGAGACGGACGAGAAACGGCCGTTATATTTCGACCACAGTCGCAGTTATACCTATTAATCTTCGACTAACGGCTCCGTTAATGTAACGTTAGGTGTCACTGCGTGTCGGAAGATGACTAGTGGACGGGGCGGCGACTGAGTACGACGTCGTCCTCGACGAAATCTCTCGCCACGTGGATGTTAGTGAGCCTTTGTTCAAGACTTCTATCTTTGGGCCCGTAAGGCATTAAAGGCAAACCCAAAACGATAAGCACAGACATAAAAATCATTTTTATGCATAGATATGTTTCCTTTTATTTTCATATAAAATCATTTTTATGCATAGATATGTTTCCTTTTATTTTATACATATGTTTCCTTTCATGCATAGATATGTTTCCTTTTACTAAAATGATACATAAATTCTATCCATATTTGAGGCGAATAGGTCAAGAATCTTAAGTAAGCTATGTTTATGCTTTAATATATATATATTTAGTTATACAAAATTTCTAGATGCACAACATGTACATGATCATGGAGCTAAACCGAATCCTAAACCGATGACCGAATCGAACCGTTAGTCACATGATAAATCCTGAATAAACCGGCCGGTCAAGTTAAGCTTCATGGTACAGCTCATGTCCCCAGTTTTCCACCTTCTTCTCCCCATCACATTAACTCTACCCTTGATTTCAGCAACACTTCTCAGCTCCAAGAGCCCTAATCCCAAATCCGAACTCAAATTCCCAGAATTCGATGCGATTTCCACCTGAATTCCGGTCAATCTGGCCGTCTTCCGAGCGTCAACTCTTCCTCCGACGATCTTCATCTCTCCGACGATCCCGATGTTCTTATACGCCACACTTCCAGTACTGTTCTCGAACTCGAATCCCCCGAAATTAGGGTTCTTGATCGCGATCTCGTTTACTAGCGTGGCGTTGAAGAAGGGACTCGAGGAGTTGCCGAGACGCAGATTTCGAACTGTGATGGATAGCAGTTCGACCTTCGGAGTCGTGATTCGAAAAATGATTTGCGCGAGAATCAGGCAACCGCCAACGACGATGACGATGGTCGCAAGAATGTATACGAGGCACTTGCTTGGTTCTTCCTGGGATTTCCGGTGATTTTTCCAACCGAATTGTTCGTCGCTTCGGCCGTAGATTCCTGTCGGAGCTAAATTGACGCGTTCCTCAGCCATGTTCTTGAGCTTTTGTCTCTGATAGTTCAGTGGAAGAAGAACAAGAGGAGTGGTATATGCTATATGGGGAGGTTTCGTATTTGGCGGTTAAAAGGGGTGGGTTTGTGTGGTACACGTGGCGGAATTCTATTGGGTAAAGGGGTAAGAGTCGTTTTCCGCGGACTTGGTCTACGCGTTGGTCTTTGAAAAGTCTTTGTTTGGGGGGGGGGGCCTTAAAGTTTAGATTTCATATCAATCTTTTTTATAAACGGATTATTTAATTGCTACTTTGTTTATTGGGATAATTTATTTTTTGATATGTGACCACACGACGTCATGAGTCATTATTAAGTACCCTTCAACTTCGATCCCTCTTACGATATACATATATATATGTGTGTATATATGGGCTTATTGTGGGGGTAGATATTATGCCATAAATATAAGATAAAAAGTTCATAATGGTCCAAAAGTATGATTGGTCTTTGTTTTCTTTCTCCTTTCTCTTGCATTATGTCCGGTTAAGAAAAACGGCCGACAAAAAGGGTGATTCTTTTTTCTCCAAAAGATAAATTTTTATTGAATAGGGCAAAAAGGGTAAACAACAGACGTAGATCTTCTGGCATGACACAATTGCAAATTAAGGGAGAAGAAAGAACGGCTAAGAAATACTACTTACATGTTACATATAAATAAATAGTGATAAATAATACGCAATACAGAATATTCTAGAAGGATTCCCCCTCCACTGTAAAAAAAAAAAGAGCAAAATTCAAATAAATAAAAAACACACACACGTAATAAATAAAAACTTGTATTTTTGATTTGAGACCGAGTCGAGTGTTACCGATCCTTGCATTGCAGTGCTTGGAACTTATCTTTGACAGAACCTTCTTCCAGTTCGGCCTTGCGACCCCACACTTTCACTCATGAGCCTTGCTCCCTCGTCACCCAGTAGAAATATGCATTCACTATTCTGTTTCGTTTTGGAGAAACTCTATAGATGGTGTGCTCTGATTCCGTGCTGAAATCAGAGACTGAATCCTGGATATATAAACGAAAATAAAATCACGGTACAATTCGTTACTCGTTAGTGTTTTAAATGTAGACATATGAATAAAGGAGATGTTAGTGTTTCGGCTTGCTCCTCCATTTTGACGATACTGATGAATGGAGTGGCACCGATGCCAAGTCCGACAAGTAAAAGGATGTCGTATTTCCGGTAGTCTTGAGCCGGAGCACCGTACGGTCCATCTATCAACAGCTTTGGCAAACTGTTGAATTGGGCAATGCAAATTGATATCCAAAGGTGACGGAGTTAATTTTTCCATCTTGTGTACCACATCACCGAACACGTCACCACTACATCATTGCCACGTCAGATTTTATTATTTCCAGAAAATATCCCAATTTGCAATTTTATTTCTAAATATATACCCAAATTATAAATTTAATATAAATATACTCTAATTTATAAAATAATTTCCAAATTGATACCCGTATTTGTAAACATTTCCCAAATCTGATATGATCCTGCACTCGTTCAAGGGTTTCGGGTTGGGATTGACCTAATTTTTTCGAGCTCGGATCGAAACCCGACCTTATAAATATAATTTTTTTCTCTTTTTTGGCCCGAGACCCGAAGCCAAAAAATTATGATTATCGATGTATGGACTGAGTCGGACTGAACTTCGAATCTCGGGTCAAAATTGGCACGCTAATTATGATTATTGTTATAACTTGTATGGGTCGAGCTTTCGGGTTGGGCTCAAATCGGGTTTCGGACTCGAGTCGGACCGACCTGAAAGTCCAAATTTTTTTTTAAAAAAAAAAAGAAAAAAGAAATAACATTTACAAAGAGAGGTTCGCGGGTCGGCCCGACCCGACCCGACTCGACTCCAGAATGCATAAGGTCGAGCTTTGGGCTTAATTATATAGATCCAAAAAAATCGGTTCGGTCCGATCCTGAACCCGAAACCTTCAGGCCGAGTGCGAACTCGGGCCAGGCCAGCCCGATTGACACTTCATCCCAAAATCCTCGATCGAATGCGGGGTCATATTAGACTTGGAAAACGTGTACAAATACGGATATTAATTTGAATTTTTTTTTACAAATCTGGGTATAAATTTGGAAAGATTTTACAAATTAGGGTATATTTATGTTAAATTTATAATTTGGATATATATTTGGAAAAAAAAATTACAAATTGGGATATTTTTCTAGAAATAACAAAATCTGATGTGGCAGTGACGTGGCGATCATATATCCGATGACGTGGCATACAAAACGGAAAAATTAACTCCGTCACTTTTGGGTATCAATTTGAAATTTTTTTGCAAATTGGAATATTAATTTGCTAAATTTTAAATTGGGTTATTATTATCGAAAATATTTGTAAATTAGGTATTTTACTGGAATTAATCCTTAAGGTTCCTAATGCACATTATTAATCATTTTAACACGTGTATCGTGCGAACAAGGCAAATGTATGTAATGGAGCAAAGATCATGTGTTTGGTTTTTTCACACATTAATACAAAACATAAATGTTTTGGGGGAACATAATTTCCTTCCTTATGCTGCTGTGTTCTACAGCTAAGATTAAAAAAAAATGTTACAACATTGGAGCCACATACATAGTAATATTCCTTTGCCACCGCCTAATGTGCAAACCAAAAAAAAAAAAAGAAAAAAAAACTTACCTTAACAGTAACAGAGTGCCGTGATTCACCTGTTGGGTTTGTTTACTACACCATAACATTATTATTTACAGACCAGACTTAGACGCTGTCGCCTCGGTAAAAACCACAGCAGCGGGGGAGAGAAGTGTTTGTGTTTCTTCAGTCGATACCCATAGCTCTTCTTGCTTTCTGCTGACAACTGGCGGGGGCCTTCTCTGGTGTTTTTGTCTGAATCAGATTCTTCATCTTACTCGAAGAAGTTCGTTGTTTTCTCTCTCCTGTGGCTGATGAGTTTACTCCCTTCTTGTTCTCCATTGTCGACAGCCTCTGCCTCTTTGAGGGCTTGGGTTGTTCTCCTGCCTCTTTGAGGGCTTGGTTATTGCTCGAACATGGATCTATGGATGGGGACATCCCATTCGCCCCCTCGGGTTTTTCGTTGAATTTAGACTTGCGGGCTTTCATGGACTTCTGGGAAAGCTTCTTTGGACATCTCGGGATCCTATTCTGGGAGTGGATCGCAATGTCATAGAGGGTTTGAGCAGCAGCCAATAGGCGTGGACAACGCAAATCTTCTGAGCAAAGCAAACAATAAGGCACGATAAGAGCTTTGGTAGATACGAGAATATGAAAATGCAGCCAAAAGTAATAGCAACCATGAAGCATACCGTCATCTTTTTCATCTTTAGACACATCTGGACCTGCATTTCATAAAGGATAAATATATCTTACAGTCAACACTGACTGAATGAGGGCAGGAACAGGAAAAGAAGAGATATTCTTACCAGGAGAAACACCAGATACTTTACGAAAGCACTTGCACCAAGAAGGGTTGTCAGATATGGCATGAAAGGTCTCATTTCCTGCAGTAGTTTGCTTCTGTAGGGAAGGAACTAGACTTTGATTGAAAGTGAATGAATCCAGATTTGTAAAAGAATCAGTCACATTCCTGGGCGAACTCGTGTTGTTGGCTATTCTTAACCAGCATCCTTGACACAATGTCCTGCTAACTAGAAGCTTGGCTGCTTCGGAGTTGGTTCTACAGTTTCCGTTAAAAGAGTGAGACCAGGGAAAGTGTGGCAAGCCAACACGAGGGGGTAGTTGTTTTGCAGAACGCTGGTCAGAGTTGTTCTTGGAACACTGAGAAGGTTTTGAAGCATCTTGGAGTAGAGAGTCTAAGTCTTTGGGTGGAGGAAGGCCTAATCGTCTTAATACATCAGTAGGCTCGCATAATGGAAAGTTAAGTGGAGTGGATGGCATTTCAGACATGACAGAATGATCCTGAAAAGAAAAATTGGAGTATTAGATCACAAATTTGAATGTTATAATTCATACTCCAATCAAAGCCGCAGAAGCAACAGCATCTATAGCCAAAAGGTATTTGAGCCAAAAGATGCTACCGTGATCTCACAAGTCTAAAACTTTAAATACTAACCAAGCATATCTACTACTACAGGATAATTTTACAAAAAAAAAACAGTTAATATCCAGATAATATATCTATGCCAACCTTGGAAGATGGAGATAGCTCTCCTTCTGGGGCATTTCCTTGATTACTGCTTTCGCCATTCGCTACTACAGAGACAGAGTTAGGTGAACCCAATGTTTTGTCTGTGCAACTGTCTAGTTCAGCAGAATTCTGTGGTTGAATAGGCCTTGGAGTCGGAAGAACAGAACAAACATTTCTGACCAGAGTCAGAAAAGTGTCGTTAGCAGTCTCTACTTTCTTCAGTTTGTCTTTACCCAAAGAAGGACACTCATAAGAGCCTTCAAGGAGCTTCTCCAGTGGTAGATCTTCGACAAGTTTGGCAACATCATTTCTTTCAGGCTTCAGGCCATAAGCACCTGAGTGTGATTTTCGATGTAAGCCAAATTAAGCGAGGAAAAGCAGCATTGAGAAAAAGATCAATGCACATGATGTAGAGGATACTGACAAGATCTTTCTTGCTGTATCAATATATGCCGCATGTTAATGAAATAGTGGAACCAAAGGTTACGACTCCACATTTTCCATTTCGTACCTTGGCGGTACAGAGATGTTGTTAGCCATTGACACTCATTGAAGTTGATGAGAGGTCGGGTATAGGAGAAATCAAACCAAGATTACAACGAGTAATTCAGGGTACCTCTGTATCTAACATGTCACGAGTTCATGTGTAGATAACTTCGAACATGCAGTCTCTAAAACTAAAAGTATACAAGTTAAGAAGACCACGAAAAACAAATGGATTAAGTTGAGGAGATTTTGACAAAAGTTCACATCAAACTATTTCGATGGGATATTATCATAGGACAGAACAGAACTAGCAGTACCAGCAGCAGTTTCATACCGAAAAATGCATTCTCGCCAGATGCTGTATTAAGGGTTGGAAACGTTCTTGCAGGAACTTTTGAGTTTCTCTTTTCACCCCGCCTGCCGCTATAGCTGTTTCTTTGTTTAACTGTTTGGGGCTTATCTGCAAAGCATTCGACAAAAAGAACACAACAATTCACATTTTCTCAGGGTGAACCAGGCTACTTTCACTTTTATATCAAATCATTCTTCTAAAACTTTGGGCTACAAACAAGACGAAGGTATATCATCGATTCGGAAATCATTTACGAGTTCTCATCCTTATTTTACAATAGCCAGCAGTTTAGCAAACAAGCCCAACTTGCAAAAATCCTTAGTCCAGCCAAGCAAAAGTAAAGATGCTGTATTGGGAGAGTTACCTGAGAGAGTGGACCCTTGTCCGTATGTATATTTTATGTCATTATCTCTTGGTGAGATCATAGTATCCTCTAAAAGGATCGGTTTTGTCCTTTTTGAAGCCCCTGAACTACTCCTTGAGAGTTTCCCTGCTTTGCGACTTTCAGGACTAGCGTTTGGAAGAAAGCCATTTTTGCAAACGGAACTTGCAGGTTCTGATGTATTTTCGACACAGAGCTTGGTAAGTCTCTCATGAACAACATCGTGGGAGTGGATTAGTTTACGCCACAGTGAAGAGTCACTGCTTCCTTCATCTGATGATTAGGCAGAAGGGTGAGTTCAGGAAAATAACACAATGATTTAGAAAGAAGCCCTTAACACACTGTGGCCTATGGGGAAAGATACAACTAGAAGAATATCAATCAAAGCAATCAAATATGCCATAAGATTTCCAAGACAAACGGGGAACACCTCAACTGCCAATTTACTTAGCTTTGCTATATGTCTTCCACGAAATGATGAATACAACAGTGAAGCGAAACCCAAAACCAATTGGTATTCGGAGTGAAAACTGGGTATCAAACAAAAAGGAGACTGAAGAACTGAAAATGGTTTAAAAACCCAAGAAGAAATGCATCTGAAAACCGATGATCTACAACTACAAATTTTTCCCT